TACATAGTATTTTTAAAAATTGTGTCTTAGTATTAAAACGTTATACATGAGCTTACATAATTACGTAAACGTGTCATGACACTTTATGTATAACGTACATAAAAAAAAAAAAAAAAAATAAAAAAAATAAATAAATAAAAATTATCAGAGAGATTCGAAAGCGCAAAAGACTTAGCCCACGCGGCTATTGTTGATTGTACTCTTACTTGACAAGATGTCATATTTAAGTTGTGAGAAGTGGGCGGAGCTTAGGTTAAAGGTCTGAGTAGGGGGGTTCTCCCGCTCCAGCTTGCTCTACAGAGAGAGGGTGATTGCGCACCACGCAATCGGCAAACTCCCGAAAATCTGGGAGCCTTGCCTACGTCCTGCGTATGGTTCTACCCTGAATCACCACGATTGAAAAGTGCCAGGCTGGCACTTTTCAATAGTGCCACCAATCACAAAATGTTCTAAGCGATAAATTCTCCAGTGGAATACCAGGAGACGTGTCTAGCCAAATCACAACCTCCTTTAACACCTCAGACTTTAGTGAACATTCGACCATCCATCCTGGTGCCATCAGACAATTTTCTACTACAAATGCAAGCTAGGAAAGACAGCTTTGAAGAGTATGGGCAGCCACAATGGCCTCTTTCTCAGTGGTCATCCTAACGGTATACCCACAAAGAAGGTATTTTTCAGGTCCACTTTCCCGACTGACGATGAGCGATTGGTTATCGAGGAAACGACCTGAAGATGAGATATTCTTTAGTCAGTGGCGTACCTCCCTCCAGTACGGTTTCCGTACACAGAGACTCCAAGGGTAAGAGTCAAGTTACCCACAGCCAGCTCTTTATCATTAAGAATAAGAGTAAGGAATAGCTGGAGGATTTACCACTGGCCCTTTTCAGGGCCATTACAAGTTTTTACGTTCCCTACTTAACCATCAATCTCATTGGTTTCTTTAAGGGCCACCTAAGTTTAAGCTACCATAACAACAAATACATTTCTACTGCTATTTTTGGCAACGATTCGTCGACTAAAAGACAATTTAAAGCCAGTCACCATTAAACCAAGTAAGTCATTCACTGGCCGATGTCACGAGTGGAGTTGTTTGTTCTTTGCAAGGCAATAAACTTAAGCAAACGGTACAGTCTCCAACGTACATGCTTTAAGAACCAATCACCCCACCTTACAACTGAGTCTGCAAAAAAAAAGACACCAACGTCTTCGGCGTTATACCAGGAGACGTTGGAAAAAATCTCTATAACAAGCTCCAAAGCTTTAAACGTTGAAGTTTTCCTTCCCATCAGTCTGATGCTACAACAGTAGGCCTGAGAAGATCATCCTGAGGTATCGAGGCAGACACGTTTACTGGAAACTTCAGTCAAAAAGAGTTTACGTAAGAACCTCTCTGGTCCTTATAAAGCTTATCGGACGTCGAACTATTTTACCAACAAATATATAAGAACTTACTAAAGTTGACAAAATACAGCCTTAAGGTCTTACGAAAATCTTAACCATGCCAAAAGCCCCAAGAGGGAAAATTGGAAGGAAAACTTTTAATACATCTAAAGAATACAACTTTATGTGTCAAGAAATTGACGCAGAACATTTATCGAGATTGAAACAGCAGTGTCAAAATCAACAAATAAAGAATCCATTGCGTGAAAGATAAACTTTTTATTGTACCCTCACAGTAATCTCTTAAATCTTCCAGATTTTTAAATAAGTAGAATACATATTTGTATTTTCTGCGATAAAAAATGTAGAGATCAAGCACCAGGACTTTGTTGCTGTGGTAATAAAGTTATAAGATAAGGGGAAAAGGATGCAACTATACATGGTTTCGGCCTCTGTTGGTATCACTTGAGCCAACCTCACAGAAAAAAAAGCCCAACTAGAAAATTTTTTTTTCGACTTTTGGCCAGCTTNAAGTAGAATACATATTTGTATTTTCTGCGATAAAAAATGTAGAGATCAAGCACCAGGACTTTGTTGCTGTGGTAATAAAGTTATAAGATAAGGGAAAAAATTTTTTTTAATTACATATTTTGTTAAAGATTTAAATCTTCACAGCCTCAACAAATATTTCTTTTTATAGATTGTACGGGAGAAACTGCAAATAAAGGGCCCCTTAGGGCAGCGTAATTACACTTACACACACACACACACACACAAACTTGACGACATCCTACCACAACGGTCAGCCGGCCCCTTTCCGACTGCCGAGACTCGGACAACACTTCACTTTGAATACCCACACGCATTACGTCCTACCGCAGCGGACAGTTGACATCTCGCCGACTGCCGAGACTCAGACAACGCTTCGCTTTGGATACACACACACACACTCACGCAGTGCTACAGTTTCCCGTCATCTCGAATGCATTGACTCACCCGCGATTCAAGCGATCACGCCCACCAAGCTCTCTTTCCTGACCCGACCGTCTTCCTCTCGAACAAACTAATTCTCGCTCTCTCACTCTTTTAGCAATCTTGACCCCTCGTTTACACTTATTACTCTTCTCCACAACCCCAACAAAATCTCCAGTACCTTCAAACCGCACACACTTATCCACACGTCCACTTTTTATCCTTACCCTCGACACCTCCTACACCCGCACAACCTCACCTCGGTGCTACATACTATGCCCTTCTTTCTCACTTCCCCACTACTCGCTAACCTTACCATGCACTACGCGAAATACCTCCAGGCCACCATCTCCAAGAAGTTGTCAGCGTCGTGTTCTCGCGATGTCACCCAATGCCATCCTGCTTCTCGTGATTGCGTAATCTTTAGCCAGGCTGCAGATGATACCTCCCGTAGATCACCAAGAGCTGGTGATGGACGTAGGTTGGACGACGTCTCGATGGCGCACATGCTCTACATCCTTCCCTCTTGAAGGCCTGTCAAGGAGTCCTCTCCGTCCCGCTGCTTACATCCTACTGCCTCGAAATCTCTTCTATCTCTTTCTTTCCCCTACTTCTCTCATATGATCTAACTCGCGCACGTCTCATTTTCCCCTTAACTACAAGTAGGTATATACACACACTCCCTATATTCCCGGTGCATTACAACTTTACAAGAGAGACAGTAAAAATACAATCAATAATTACAATAATCGTTACAAATCGAAAACTCATCTATTTTCCCACCAACCTACCGATTCACACTAAAATGTACACCTATAGATATACCTGCGCACGCAGTATTAACGTTAACACCACTTGTAGTCCTTTAATTACACATGCCTTCTTATTGTTCTTGCTTATCCCGCTCGCACTTCTCTTTGCTCGTTTCACCGGCTATATGTCTTCGTCGTCCTCTCCTCCTTTTTCACATGAAACATAATGAAAAACAAACACACGTACACAGTTTTGGTGTTTATCAGGCTAATATGAAATATGACTTCGTCATACGTTCTGCTACTATGAGCTGTTAACAACGCTACGTGCTGTCTGCTATGAGCAGTGTAAGCCAAAAAATACCTGTGGCCAACATCACAACATGTTATTGGCAGCACTACTTCATTTTAAAAACACACTTATTAATACCATGCTAGAAAATTTTTTTTTGCCACTAACTTAAGGAGGTTGACTACCTTAAGCAATTGATAGTCAGTTTTTAACTAACTACAGAGCTTCAAAAATGTATAAAACAAATTTATGCAAAGTTTCAGCAACTATGGGTGCTTATGAAACGAGAAATTAATGAAACAAATTTAGTGAATTTTAAATACTTTCTTATGGGAGATAGTCAAAAGTGACTCTTATAATAAGAAATTTTAATACGATTAACAGTCTGATTTGGACAAAACTGTAATAAACAGTAAATTAACATCTTCCTTTTTATTATGTAAAATAATCGCGTTTAATAGGCCCTTGTAAAAATAGTTATTAATAAAAAATCTGAATTGTCAATACAACTCAATATTAAATTATGGGACGTGTGCACGCATTTCTAACCTCAAAAAGACACAAAGCCTGACCTCTCTCTCGCACCCCTCTCCAAAGGTAGTCAACCTCGTTAACGGTAAGACCACTTTTCATACGTGTTTTGTTTACCATGTTTTTCAATAACTAAAATCTTTAACAAAAAAAAAATTGTGAAGAGATTAAACTTTTTGCATTCTTTTCATTAAGAAATAATTTTAAAATTCTGTCATCACACTAAGAGAGAAAAAAAATAAAAACTATTGTGTTAGAATGGTGATTTGGTGTCATTCCACCGTCTAGGGATTTTCTACTTTAGCCAATCAAATTTTTACCATTAGGGACATTAATTTCTATTGTAAAAGATGTAAAAATTACTGTATTTACAAAAAAAACTACAGTTCTAAAAATTAAGAATTAATTTAAATAGTAAAAAGTCTACACGACCATACAATACCAGATTACCATTCTAGCACAGTAATTTTTACTATTTTTTTCTCTGAGTGCACCACAATCAACTGTGCTACATCAGCTATTTCTTCTAGCAGAGGCTTTCTTAAAATTTATGTCATGATTTTTTCACCGATTTATAGAGGTTACTTGTCGGAAGTAATATTTGATCGATTATTTAGTTTTTAACATCAGATCTCCCAATATTTATATAGTAACGTTTTTTAAAGCAACAATTGATTTATCTTTTGTATACAATTAGTATAAAAAGTTATTAAGAAGTGTGCTCTTCTAAATAAATGAAGTGGAGGGACTTAACAGTCATGATAGTGCACATCAAATACGCACTGTAACAGTGAATTATTTCAATTTATATTTAAACTTCATTAAGTTGGTAAAATAAGAGCAAGTCAACAAGACCAATGATAGTTGCATAGAGTACTAGTTGAACTTCACCACTACGTAGATTTAATAAAATTTAGATTAAAAAGATATTTTTCTTCATAGTAAGAATTGTAACTTTTCGTACATGTACAACTTATCAGAAAATTTAAGAAAAGAAAACAAAAAATTAATTTTTTTTTCTCCTTTTAACTTTTTATACGTAAACTTTATATAATCTTCTTACACATCAGGTGGGAAAAGATGAGCACATACCAATCATCAGCAGCATCGAACCCATACCGAGACAATACGCATCCATCGGTGACTACAGTGTCAGTAGCGTCGGTGGCAGCTACTTCTTACGCAACGAGCTCGCACCACTACCACCACCAATATCAGCACCAGCACCATCAACAACCGCAACTGTATAGCGCAGCCACGGCATCAGCGATGATGACGTCTCGTAAAGACTCGATGTCTGTAATCGGCCACACGCTTCATGATCCCTTGCAAGTCCCAGTCCAAGTTCAAGCTCAGCAGCAGCAACAGCAGCAAAAAAGATACCATAAAGAGCTGCAGACCTTAATGTCAACGTCGTCATTGTCTTCGTGTGCGTTAAGTGACACCAAGGTCTCGACGAGGTCGTATCATCAAGTCCCACCACCACCGCTGCCACCACCACCATTAGCGCCAGTCATTCCTAGATACCAGCATTCCTACCACCACCATCGTGCTTCATCTTCCTCATCTGTTCTGCCGCAGGTGCCCAATTACAGCTACCCCCATCACATACCACCGGTACCGTACTCGCATCACGAGTATACCAAGTACTATCCAGGTTCAAAGGAGAACGCAAGAGAGTCTACGCAGGCTCAAGCAGCACTGCCATCGGGGATGATAAAATATTCGGAGCATGGATCCATCATACATGATAAATATGGTATTGCCAAGCAGCAACAGTCCCAGAAATATTCTAACGGCGCTGTCATACAGAATGGCACAGTCAAGACGGCCAACCCCCCAGGGATGACAGAAAATATGTCCAGGCCATATTATAATTCGCAATCAAGTGAGTTTTTCTTTTATTTATCAATTTTTTTGTTTTAGAGGTTTAAGGTAGCACAGTAATAGATGAGTCAGCTAGTACCCTTTAACGTGAATGCGGTAAGGAAAAATGAGGGTAATTGAATTTAGTTTTTTGTAAGGCTGGACGATCGATAGAACGTAGTATGTGAACGTACAAAACGCAGGCAGTCTTCTGTTATTGTTTAATGAGATCACACGTGCATAGGGATTTTAAGGGTTGAGTGTCTTGATACTTTTTTTTCATCATATCGACTGTTTTTTTCTTATGTTGCTACTCATGTTATGAATAGTATTGCTTACTTCAACATCAGTGATCTGATTTCTAGAATAATTTAAGTATTTGTTTAAATCATGCTATTGAAAACACCCTGCAAAATGGCTTGAAAAAACGTTGAGTGTAACAGTAAATACTCAACAATACGTATTCAATTTTTACACCCATTATAATTGTAGCTTTTACAGTACGTAAACTTATGTTGCAATATTTTATAAACTCTAACTTCTTATTTAAAGACATACGAGGAGTAAAAACAAAGTCAAATTGACCATGACAGTCTTATATGATATTCTTTTTCTAATTGTATGAAGATCTTACAAAAAGTCAAGATTCAAAACTATAATAATATTGAGAGTTCTAATAAGTATTATCGGATTTTACTTCTTTATTTCTCATGAAAATTAATTCGAAAATTTCAATTTAATTTTCGGTAACAAATCATTATTATAAACAATTAGTAGGGAGACCTAGGGCTGAATGGACCATTGAGTTAAATGGATTTTTATTATAATTAAAAAAAAACTTTATCACCAGTAATATTGTTTTTTTCACTTACATATAATCGTAAGTAGTTAATTAGTCTTTGAGATTGGTCTATTAAGCGCTCTGGATAAATGTTATTTTTAATGAAAATTTAGAGTACTAAAAAAAAATATTTGGAAAACTAAAAATAGGAATATAAGTATTAATAAAGATTTTTCTTTATTTATAAAAACTCATGACCATAAAGCACACATTACATTTTAATACAATGCTTCATAAAAATGTACATTCACAATTTTAAATACACTATCTAATATTTAGGAAGTATTGGTTGGGGAGGGGGTGGTGTATGGATCAATCAGATGAGGCAAATCAAACGGAATAAAATAAGCATGATAGCAGACGATTTCTAAGTTTTTCTCTGACAAACACTTGCTCTGATATTCCGTGTTATGATATGTAGGTAAGGTTTATTAATTAAAAATATAGTGGCGGTCAGATCGTACGAAAAACAAAATACAAACTTGCAGCCATGGTCTGCTGGGGCATTGCAAAAAGCAGTAAGTGCATTTACAGCTGGAGAGACATACCGTCATGTAGAAAAAGAATATGACATATTCCGTGAAATGTCGATGAAAAAAACACGAACTGTTAAAGAAAAAGTCAACAAAAAAGTTTAATTCTTAACGATCACTTAATACGCAGTGCTTTCAAAATCAGCTAATTCAGTTCTTTTGTATGCCTCAAAGTTTTATGATTTTTTAAAAGATAAGTTTACCTAAATCTAAATTTAAACTAATGTTTAGTACATACAAGAATAAAACTACTTATAATATAAGACAAAACGTGATTTCAATGAGTATAACCTAGAGAACTCAACACATACTTCAGGAGATTATAAGTAATTATAAAAAGCCAAATATGATTTGTGTAAATATTCATAAATGAATGTTATACATTAATGACTGATCAGTTGTAAGAAAAAGTAAGTAACTAGTAAGTAACTGTATTAATAAGAAAATGATATTCATTATTGCTCAATTGTTTAAGAAACTTTTAATAGCATTTATTTTTCATTATTTCATTCTCATAGCTTTTTTCTTGATAAGATGAGACAAAAGTAGCAACTATAATCACACTTAAGGTGGCCGTATAAAATACTGGCTCATCATTCAGCACCATGCAATGCATCGTCCAAACAGCCCCGTATCTGTGGCTGCATGAGCCATTGGACTTTTTAATCTTTTTCTTATTCCTTTAAAAAACAGTTTTATAATGTACGAGTAAAAAATTTAGCTTTGATTTATGAGATGTTAAGGAATGTGTAGTAGGTTTTTTTCTATTGAATGTGAATGGGTAGTATATATTTTAAAAATTATTGAAAATAAATGTCTCGTGCAGCCCGAGATTCCCCTAATAGTTTGTAGAAATTCTTCTGTTGCTAAAATATTTTTAAATAATTAATGAGTAATATGTATCATTTACTATAAAGTACAGAAACGTTTCAAGTAATTAAAATTTATTATGTAATTCTATTGGTTCGCATTGTTATTTGTATCTCCTGATATGTCACTTATGACGAAAAAAAAGAAAAAACTAATAATGGCTGTTATTATTTTCTCTTCTTAGTCTCAAATCTAAATTTTAATGTTTTTTATCATCGGTTTTACTTTGATGATTCTACCACCGTAGCTGACTCAAAACGACTTTTACTTAGTATTTATATTTCAAATATTATCCTTAATAAGTATTTAATGCAATTCTACATCAAAGCTATTTGATTAAAAGATACAAAACATTTTTCAAAACTAAATTTCAATCGATTTTTTGAAGAACTACGAGTGTTTTTGGCACGTATAGATAGGCTAATTTTATAGTTGGAGTGTTTTTACCTAGCTTGAATAAAAACTGGGCCCAACTCAAGCCCTATCGATGAAAAAAAAATTTTGTTTCATAAGGTAAGTAGCTCCTTTGCAAAAATCTACGTAATGACATGTTTGAATTGATAGATTTTGATCCGCTCAATCCAATGGTTTCCTTCTTTATACTTCAAGCCTGAAAAAATCTCGAGAAATTTTCACTCGAAGTTTCCATTTTTAACTTTAGCTCTTATGGAATAAAATTAGAAAATAAGTTATACATGTATTATCTGAAAGAAATAAAAATATCTAGCAGACACATTCAAAGGTACTTGTAAATAAATTCCTCTTCTTTCTAAGGATACTTTGCAAAGTGCCAGTAGCGAGATATTTTCTCGAGCTATTTGCAATGAAAGAAAGTTAAAATTTGTTTTAAGTAGTTGAGAGATGATAATTCCTATAGCTGTACAGTCGTTCTTTTCTTGTCTCTGATACGCACGAATTTTAAAAGTGAATAACATTAAATACATATTCTTGAATGTACTCACTGAGTTTTTCTTCTGCCTCTAGTGGTTTTTGTCAAAAACATTTATAATCTTTTTCTGACGAAATAACAAAATAACCAAATAATAATTACACCGTATATGCACCAAGCGTAAGAATACACTTTTGTATTCTAATAATGATTGTTTTTTTTTT